TGATACACTTTCTTTTTATAAGAATAACGTCATACCTAATGTATCCCTCTTTGAATTCGCTTTGGCGTCCACAGATCAGGTGAAAGATACTTTGTTTGGCTTCAAAACCAAAGCATAGACATATCTTCATTTTACGAATACATGAAAGTGCTCCTCCCCGAGTTTCCTCATTCTCAACTAAAAATCTGTCCGCAAGCCATTGTACATTTGCGTCGTCGAACCGATATATTTTTTTGAAGTCACGACCAGGTGAAGGTAAACGAGGATTTCGTTCCTTATGGGATTTTCAATGTTGTGTTTTTTATTGGCGACTGACCCAGTTTCCCGAAATCTAGCTACAAGTTCTAGAACATATTTTCGATGCACGTTACTGTTCTCATGTGGCTCGTTAAATATTTCTGCTGTTCTATTAGCGCAGTGATTGTTTCCGAAAAATATTTCGATAATTTCAACTCTTTCTGCTGTGGAATATACCATGGTTAATTTATGTAATGAAGCGTTACAAGTTATTTTAGCAACAAAGTTTGGTCAAATCAATCGCAAACTATGTACTAAATTCCTATTTAAAATAAGTACGAGATATTTCCTTATCTTTCTTCAAGAAATAACTTTTTTGACACAAAAAATGCTCCAATAGCTATATAACTAATCTGATGTACCTATTAAAGTCTACTTTAAGCTTTAAATCAATAAATCTTCAAAACTACTGAACTGAAGTACATTAATTTTATCTCATGATAAAGGGAATTAAAAGACCTTTAAAATGAGGTATCACTCAACCCCCCTTTCCATTTAAGATTTTGGGGGTGGTGTCACCCCCGCTTAGGGGACTGCACGTGCTAACATGATTTCTTGCCAAACTTGTGTCCCCCTCGAAAACAAAATCGACGGGTCTGAGCGTTTTTCCAAAAAAAAACTGAGCAGTAAATGCGTCTGTTTCGTTTTCGATGCGCCACCCTGTATATATACAGGGTGTCCGCAAAGTTGGGGTTTTCCTTTTCAGAAACAACTACCCTTGAAATAACAAAAGTAATGTGTAGTGAAATGAGGGCGACCAAGTAAAAAAAAAATAAAGGAGAAAGTACTCACTCTCCAGTTGACGAGAAGGGCTAAGTACGTCTCTGCCCGAAATCATACCGCTCCAACAGAAAATGAAATCAGCTGATGCGCTACCGAGCTACCGCTACCGAGAAAAGATGGGGTTCTAGAACTTCGTGGATATAACGCTGCGCGTTCATGTTACCTCTGATGAAGATTAAAGGTGACCTGGAACCATAAGCTATAGCACCCCAAACCATAACTCCAACAGTGTGATGAACATGTCTTTCAACAAAAAACTGTGGATTCCTCCTTTCACCACGTCGCCTTCTAACCCTGGCACGACCATCGTGCATGTCTAAACAAAATCGAGACTCGTCACTAAAGACACTACTGTTCCATTCCTGATCCCAGAGTGACCGTTGTCTGCACCACTCAAGGCGATTACGTCGGTGTTCTCGAGTTAAAGAGAGGACCCAGTGTGGCCGGTATGAAAACAAGCCAAAACTTCTCATTCGTCGCTAAACACTTCGCATGCCAATAGGTCTTCCGTGTTCTGCAAACCATTCATTTGCAATGGATCTGGTAGTGGAGAAACGGTCCCTTAAGGCCAATAATCTTAGGCGGTGATCTTCACGGTCTGTTGTTCTACGGCGGCGTCTAGTGCCCCTTGCTCTTTGCGTACGGCCTTCTCGAAGCCATGCCTGACAACACCTAACCACAGTGTCTACACTTCTTTGCACTCTAACTGCAATTGCCCGAAAAGAAAGTCCAGCTTCCCGAAGTCCCACTATACGGCCCCTATCAAACTCACTAAGTTGACGAAATCGTACAGGTCTCCGTACTCTAGGCATCGTAACCGATCGTAAAGGATGTCAAGAACCAAAATCCGCCAACGTTGATTCTTTACTGCGGCTGAAATATTCATTTTTAGAGCGTTAGTGAATTAAAAAAGAGCAGTATAAAAACCCGAATGTCCAACTGATAAGGCTGAACATTTTTTCACTTGTTATTTACAGTAAGATAAATACATTCAGCAACTTTTACTAAAATAAAACCATTTAAACTGGGTGTTCGGATTTATATGTCACTTAGTATAATAAGCCCAAAAGACAGTGACATGTAGGCACTACCCTATATTTGAGTAAATAAAATGCCAAACAAAATCAAGATTACACAAAAAATTTCAGTCAGCAACAATCAATATTTCAATATCTATAAAATCCCAATTAAAATGACATTTTACCTGTTGACATCAGGGTTTTTATAAAGGGGAAGAGATGGCTTCCAACAAAGTCGGCAGCGAAACAGCTACAAGGCAGCTACAAAACAAAGGTGGAGGAGTGTGAATGGTGGTTCTCTACAATGGCTTTCCACTAAAAGGAATCAGATATTGAACAAACTTATAGATAGTACCCTAACCAACACAACTAAACGTAAGGTACAAAATAAAAGGCTACTACTCCATAAACTGGTGCTTGGGGCGTTGATATCCCAAAATCTGGAGGTTAACGAAAACACGCCCGCACACAACCAAAACTACAGCAGAGAGTAGAATGGCGCTAGACCATCTGCGCACGCAACCCCCTAAAAGAAGGTTGAATAAGTGGCCCTGAAGACGGAACATCAAAAGGAACAGATAAAAACCGGTAAAGAAGGTATCTTGATGGGAAAGTAAACATTAATACAGAGTGTCCGCAAAGTTGGGGTTTTCCTTTTCAGAAACAACTACCCTTGAAATAACAAAGGTAATGTGTAGTGAAACGAGGGCGACCAAGTAAAAAAAAATAAAGGAAAAAGTACTCACTCTCCAGTTGACGAGAAGGGCTAAGTACGTCTCTGCCCGAAATCATACCGCTCCAACAGAGAATGAAATCATCTGATGCGCTACCGAGCAGACGCAGGCAAACAAGGAAGGCAAAATGTTGCGTAAAAAGTCTAGGTATTGCATCCCGTCCAATCGATTTGGGAGAATAAATGGTCCAATGAGCATACCGTTCACCATGCCAGCCCAAACATTCACCGAAAATGTTTGTTGAAAATGTGCCCGACTGACAGCGTGCGGATTTTCTACTGACCAAACATGAGTGTTGCGAAAGTTATTCACCCCATTACGCGTGAACGTAGATTCGTCTGTCACCAATATGCACTTCAAAAAGTCCGGATTATTGTCATGTTGATGCAACAACCACTCACAAAACCGCACTCTTGCTGGAAAATCGTCAGGTTGAAGGGCTTGTACACGTTGGACGTGAAACGGATACAGCCCCTCTTCACGCAGCGTTTGCCACACTTTAGTTTTTGATACTTGCACTTCTCTAGCCACGTCTCTAGTGCTTGTTGAGGGATTCTCGTCTACGCGATTACCTCTAGACGCGTGACCGTAACCGTCGGTTGAAGGTTGCATACTGATCTGACACACAGACCCCGACCCAGTTCTGTCGTCGGGTTGAGCTAGTGTCCTAGTCCCAGTCGGGGATGTCGCGGCTACAGGACGATATTCAGATATTTTTGATGTTGCAGAGCCCTTTATTTCGGTTCCCTTAAGACATTGGTGTATATGGTACTAAGAAAAATTGGTTATGTTTTCAAGATCTACACGTCGTGTAAAGGAAAACCCCAACTTTGCGGACACCCTGTATATGGCTAGTACGTGTAAACATCATAAGATGGCGCGCTGGTTGCCAATGGGCAGGTTGTAGGCAGAAACAAATCTGTCTACGAGGGACCAACAATATTTCTTGAAGAAATTTCTCAGATAGAAGAAAGATTTCAATACAGTATAGTACTGATGTATGTGCAATACAATGGAGTGATGAGGCCCGATTCGAAGTTTGTCTTGGTGACAGTCGTAGTAGAGTTATTCGCAAAAAACATTAGCATTCCATGTTGACTGTCTGAAGAGAAAAGTGAAATTCTCAGCATTCATTATGGTCTGTGGCAGTATGTCATCAAAAAGAGTAGGAACACGTCATTTTATTGATGGAAATGTGGATACAAACAAATATTTGGCAATTTTGGAAGAAACACTTTTACCAGTGATGGAAGAATGTTTGACATCCGGCCAAGATTTTGTGTTCAGCAAGATGATGCAGCGTGCCAGACCTCAAAAAAGGCTATAGAATGAATGGAAGAAAATAATGTACCACTTTTAAAATGGGTTTCTAGCAGTCCAGATCTGTCACCTGTTAAAACTTTGTGGCACGAGATGAAAAAGGTTCTACGACAACATCCTGCTCGTACAATCACCGAACTGAGACAAAAGCTTGAAGAAATATGGGATTGTTTTACACTAACTTTTTGCCAAAACTTGGTTAACACTATGCCCCAAAGAATTTCAGCCGTAATAAAAAATAAAGGTGATGGTACCCAATGGTAATCTTTCAATTGTTGCTTTGTTAACTTCGCGCATTTATTCGCACATTGTTTATTTGTTCAGATGTTCTATTAGTTATAGGTCTAAGTGATTTCAAATATGTATTTTTTACGACCAGAGTGTATCTAAAATGTTTTTGAGAAAATCAATTGTTTTAGAAATAAATAGTTTCGTCATGATTAGTTTATAAAGGCATACTTTGGTACAAATCTTGAAGTGGGCCAACAGAAGTGGGAAGGGGCTCGTATGTTCAAAATTTACTTGACGTAAAAACTACTCGACTTGATTTACATTGCTGATATCTAATACTTGGCTTGACTGCTTGAAATCATGTCAACCAATGAACTCATGAGTGTAACTGTATGGAACCTGGGCAGCATCTACCACAAAAATTAAAGGCAATCGGTAAGGAGCGTTCGGTATGGCGACTTCTGTGTTTAATCCGATTTTGTAACTGTTAAGCGTGTGGTACGTGCGTGTGTGTACACCGACTGATATAAATTTCATCCATACCTGTCACGCTAGCCCTACCTAAACTTTCTATCGACTAGATTTTTTCCGATTCAGAATGTTTGTGTATCTACCTATGTTGGATTTTATTGTTTCGGTTGGAAATTCGGATGTAAAAGTATCTTTCTTTTGTTTCAGTGATGCTTTGGCTAAACAATGTGATCTACGAAACGTCGACCTGTCAGCTTGTGAGGCTAGGCTACATGATAAGGAAAGCAGTGCAGAGACTCTACTAGCATTTCATCATGATACAGCTAACTTAGTTGGACGACATGTCCGAATTATAGGTAAGCGTTATATATATATATATATATATATAGATACGTTGTTTCTGCACCCACGCAGCGCTGTCATTTCAGTAGTCACACAAGTAGTCTCGAGTCCCTACCCATTAAACAATGTTCTGACCTAGAAGTTTTTCTTTTGCCGAACTTACCACCTGATAACGGTGCGATCACTGTTCCGATGAGTAAACCTTTTACTTGATATCTTAAGTGTAAATATGCTAGGAAGTGTATGTGTGAAATATGTCAAATAAGTGGGTTTTCCATTAAGGACTTGACAAATTTCTTTTCAAATAAAAAAGCCACTTGCTGTGTAACTTCAAGCCCAAAGGATCTACAAAGAGAAAATGATCATGCGGAGAAAGGTATATAACAAAAATGGGAAATAATGGGCACAATCCGTAAAAAGAGGGAAAGTGGATTCGAGCAGAAAATAGGATAGGTAACCCGAGCGATACGTATTTCTGCTGGTTGGCTTCATCAGGTCCGAAATGAATGCACATATGCAACTACAAAAGGAGATGCAAATGCCCATACATCCGGATACGAGTGTAACCTCTCCATCTTCGTTTCCACACACAAAATGTGTAGGTTGGCTCTTGTTGTGGACTTCATGTGTGATTTTTTTCCCTCTCCATCTTCATTTCCTCAGGTTACACTCGTATCCGGATGTATGGGCATGTGTATCTACTTTTGTAGTTGCATATGTGCATTCATTTCGGGCCTGATGAAGCCAACCAGCAGAATACGTATCGGTCGGGTTACCTATCCTATTTTCTGCTCGATTCCACTTTACTTCTTTTTGCGGATTTTGCCCATTATTTTGTTAGGTTATATACCTTTCTCCGCATGACCATTTTCTCTATATACATATTAATGGCAAAAAATTTAGATATAACAACCATCCTAATTGCTTGCCCATCAAAAGAATTTTCAAAACTGAGCAGGTGTTGCTTTATCTTAAGCTGGTGTTTACTAAACATACTTGCTGTTGCGGATACGCTTATCCGAAGAATATTATGACCTTAAAACAAAAGCTATTGAATTCCGAGTAGTCTTTTTCAAGCTATAGAGAGGCCAAGTGTTAGCGGACATCTAGACAGACGGGCCGACGTAAACGTATGTCTTTCACATAATTTTTGCAATTATAATACATTACAATACATAATATAATAATATCGTACAGTTGCTTTTTCCATAAAATAGTCTTATATTTTCAGCTTCGATTATAAAATTCTATAGGTCCCTGATCTAGATCAATCGGTATCCAAGCAAATTATAGGCTTCTTTCAGTAATGGTGAATGCGCTTGGGCAGTATGAATTGCACATCCGCCAATTTTTGACCCAAACCGTGTTATTCGCTTTTTACTTCCCACGCCTACTGGAGTAATCGAGAAAATTTTCGAAAATGAGGTACTATTCGTCATTTATTTGTCTGGGCGGTCCGTAGGACCTTTGCCCATTAGTCACTGTCTGATGTACGTTAATCGAATCTGTCAGTCCTGGTTGCCCAGAAACCAGACAAAGTCAAGGAAAGAGAAGAAAAAAGGAGAAGAACAAAGAAAAACAGATATGCTTAGTTTAAGAGGAAATACCTTGGCTTTTTGACTTGGTACACGGATTAATTTTGAGGTGAACTAAACAAATTTTTTGATTCGGTTTTGTTAGAGTGTAATTTTGAGTTTACTAAAGATTCACGATAACTTTTGATTACAGTGCGAGCCGTGGCCTCGAATGTTTACGAACTTGCTTCACTGTGTAGTCCACTGAGTCACGCAACAGAGGGCTGCTGTGCGATTCCGCTTAACTATAACGTCGCTGCGCCTGAAGCTTGACATAATCCCTCAAGTAAGGAATGTCAAGGTCTCTGTGTAGTGTCTCATTTGAGACATACCATGGAGCGTTGCCAATTGTCCGCAAAGTTGTGCTTTGCAGTACTTGAAGACTTTGCATGTGTGTCTTGGCAAGAAAACACCAAGCCGCACATGCATAAGTAATGGCTGGTCTAATAATCATTTTATATAGTCGAACTTTGTTTATCAAACTCAATTTGGAGGATCTACATAACAAAGGATATAGTTGCCGAAACGCAATTTGGAATTTTGTTTTTATGGATGCTGTATGTTTCTGCCAGGTCATGCCTTTATCAACGGTGACACCGAGATACTTGGCAGAATTTGTCCATGGTACACGATTTCCGTCTACAGAAACCTCTGCTGGGGGGCCGCGACGTTTTTTGGTACAATAAATAGCCTGCGTTTTCGAATGATTAATTTTCATGAGCCACCGTTCCGCCCACTCAATCGAAAATGAAATATTGTGTTTTAGGATGTTGGTCTGTCCGCTAATCTTATAACCGCCTGTAACTTGAGAAGTACTGCTCGGATTAAAACGAAATTTTCACACAATGCTATGCCAAGGACGCAAGAGCTTTCTGGTTTTTGAAAAACGGTCCGGTGGCGGCGGAGGAGAAGGCCTAAAACGTTTCAGAAGATCCTAATTTTTGAAAAATTCTAGAGGTAAAAATACTTGGTGGCGAGGGTCGTAATGGGGTGGGGATGGTTTATTTCAATTTTTATCCTGGTACATTTATACACACCCATTATGGTAATTCTCTGCTCCTATTAGTTCACACAACATAGATTTCTCTGTAGCCCGGTAAACTATTCTCGGGAGGCGGATCGCGTACCTATCGGCCGTGGCTGCTGCTGCTACTGTTCTGTTATGAATTCACACACGAGTAACAGCATAGTGTTTTCTATGCTCTGGCCATACTACCATGCCCACAGTGCCACGTCTGCCCGAGTTAGGTAACGGGAAGTGGCAAAGTTTCCTGATGCAGTACCGGTGGGGCAGGGAAAAAATGTCTTTGGACTAATTGTGTGGACCTGTTTTTCTCAGATGATCTACTTTGTCATATATATACATATTCCTTTACGTACCGCTAAGGACGTTGCGTAAGAAGTGCAGAGTCAACCCTTTGTCTTTTGTTATCTAATGCGAATGTAACAGTTACTCTTGCTTCCGGCGAATATAATTACGAAATTTCAAATTATTTTGATAGTTGAAGTTTCTCGTGCTTTTGAGCTATTAGTCATAACTCCTTCTCGACATTCTCCAACAATAAATACATTAAACCGACAACGCAAGATTTCAATTGAATTTTCTAGAAATTTATTTCTTATTGAATCATAAAGCATCCAGTATAGGGGTATATGTGGAATGACAGATCAAGCGAATGACCTATTTATCTTTGCAGGCGTATCCGCGATCTTTTATCTAAATTTTCCGTGACCACTTTCCATAAACTTGCATGAGTTTTGTTGTTGCAATCCATGAGCTCAAGTGGGCCTAACTGATCAATATTGATGTGGGCAAGACATATGATTCAAGAAGAGCGTCAGTGGTATTACGTAACGCGAAAAGTGACATTATGTCGGTTTTGTTTGACATTTTGTCGGTTTTGTTTGACATTATGTCGGTTTTTTATGACTACTATTCGTCATTGTTCATCAGAGCGGTCCGGTGGACCTTTGCTCTTAGTTAAAGGCCTCGTCGGTCTGTTAGTCTGTCAGGTCTGGCTACCCAGATTCCAAACATGTTTAAGGAGAAAAGGAAAGACAGGAAGGAAGAAATAGAGCACAGAATAGAAGTAAATCATTTGAAATAGCTTAAGCATTATTGCTTTGACTACTCGAATAATTTTGTAACTCCAAAAAATAATTTTGATCGGTTTTATATACTGAAATAATTTTGGCTGGTCTGAGTTCACAATTTAATTTTGATCACGGTGCGAGGCGAGGCCTGGAATGTTTGCGAACTTGCTCGACTGTGTAGTGTACTGAATCACGCAACAGAGGGTTGCTGTGCGATTCGGCTTGATTATAACGCCGCTGTGCCTGTTGTTTTACATAATCCCTTAGATATGGGATATCAAGATCTCTGTGAATGGTCTCATTTGACACGTACCAAGAGGCGTTAGTGATTGTGCGTAGGGTTCTGTTTTGCAGGACTTGCACTCTCTGCATGTGCGTCTTGGCAAGAAAACACCAAGCCGCGCATGCGTAAGTGATTGTGGGTCTTGTGACCATTTTATACAACCTAATCTTGTTGATCAACCTTAATTTTGAATTTCTGCACAACAAAGGATAAAGCTGCCGAAAGGTAATTTGGAATTTTGTTTTCAAAATAACAGTATGTTTCTGCCAGGTCAATCCCTTGTCAATGATGACTCCAAGGTACCTGACAGATTGCTTCCGTGGACGAGTTCCATTCTCTGATATCTCTGAGGGGGCACTGCGATGTTTTTTAATACGGTAGATAGTCTGCGTTTCCGAAGTATTAATTTTGATCAACCACCGATCCGCCCACTCCAGTACTTCCTCCACCGCACTCTGCAGCCTGTCGTGAACCATATTACCAGAACACGACTGGGCTAACAGTGCAGTGTCGTCAGCATAGAGATAGACTTCACAGTTGCTGGGGCAAGGGACGTCATGTATATAAAGTGAATAAAGGATTGGACCTAAGACAACACATTGTTAATTTTGATCCGAAACTTCCTTCCTTCTAGAAAAGATTTCAACAGTTTTAGTAGCCAAAATGGAAAACCCTTTTGGATGAGGCCCATGTGCCACACCTTGTCAAATGTCTTTGATACATCTAAAAGCAAGATACCACCACTTTTGTTCAGGGTGAACCCCCTGGTTACATGCTCCACCAGTCTAACTGCCAGTAGCTCCGTACTATGCTGTGTCAAGAATCACATGGTGATCTGACGAGAAATTCTCAAGGTGACGATAAATCACCTTTTCAGCGAGCTTAGAAGGAGCTGACAGCGGGCTAATGAGACGGTAATCCTGGGGGAATACCGAACCTGCCTTCTTTGGGATCATGATGACTTCAGCGATCCTCTATGCCTTAGGAAAGTAATGAGTTCTGAGCATTGCATTAATTATTGCCACCAGATAAGTCAAAGCCTTGAGCGAAAGCAACTTCAGTGCTTTGTTGGTGATTTGATACTCTTCAGGTACTTTACGCACCTTTAGGTCCTTAATGTGGCCTTGGAGCTCTGCTGGTGTGCAAAACGGAATCTCCGAGGATTCCGTTGATGTGCTATGCTGGGATTCATCTGAAGAGTCTTCCGTAGAAGAATCTTCTGAAAAGGAGTCACTGATGTTGTTGTCGCTCTCTTTCCATGACGTCAGCAAAAACCTCCACTTTATCCTCAGTCCTGAAAACTATGCCTCCAGCACCATGAATATGTGGTAGTTGTTCTTGCCTTCCGTTTCTGAGCGATTTTGCCACTTTCCAGAGAGGAATACTTGATTCAAGTCGCTCCACTGCTCATTGCAGAATTCATGGAGTGCATTTCTCACTTCATGTACGAGATTTGTCGCTCTACGAATATCATCAGGGTGACAAGACCTTTTTGCTTGCTTTTCCGACGGATGTCAGCAGGGAGAGTCGGTTTTTTTTTATACATGACGTTTTTCCTATGACGTCGTTTACTTCATGCTCACTTTAGCAAGCACGGAATGAACTATTTGCACACTAGCCTACTTAGTCAACAAGTTGACATTTTAAGTTTGACATTAGGTTTTTGACGTAATAACATACCGTGAAACAACTCAATTACTGATTCAGCCATTCATTGGTCGGGTATTCTCGGATTACGCTGATGAGAATTGACTCTCTAGATCTCTCTTTGAAATTGTTTCTGCCTAAATTGAATAAAAATGATTCAAAGATGATGGTTTAATTAACGATTGACTTCACTAAGGCATTGTCGCATACCATACGGCCCGTAAAGCAGGTAAATTCATTGGATTTCTTTTATGGGATTATTTGAAGTCCATATCTACAATACAGTGCGAATATACCAGTAAAGCCGAGAAAGTTATCAACATGATCAGTCACCCCATATACATATAAAAATATGACCACTTCAGTTATGAACTTTGAGCCTCTGGCTGGTTCATTATGCAACTCGTACTTGTAAGCTCGATGATGTCCCGTTCCATAGTACTGAACAGTTTAAAAAATCATTTACTTATGTTGCATTTTCAATGTACAACTTTTTCCCAGATATATTAAAAAATTCGCTCTCACTTAGTAGCTTCCGAAATAGGGTCAAATCCCATGTGAAAGGACTACATTTGTTTTATTTTTGCTGTTGTATTAGTTACAACTATTATTAATCTGTAATTGTTAGGTTATCCTTATTATTAGTATAGTATTATTTGCGGGGGCTGCGTGGAAGAGCAACCGCGTCCCTCATAAAATGAGTTTTTTTTTATGTACTTTTCACCAAAAAATAAAGACACATTATTGTTATTATTATAACCCCATCCTGAGTACTTTATGATCCAACAGAAAAATAGTAATCTTGAAGAACTGTTTTCTTTTTATTTCAATCCTTGCGTGAAGTCTGGGACACCCATTTTTAGCAGCTTCGCACAAAATCCCAGTCATATTGAGATTAATTTCCTTTCTCAGCCCGTTTCACATGAAAAAATACACTAAGAGCGTTATCTGATTTCCCGAGGTTGCACAAAACTCTAGCGAACAAAGGGCAGAACGAACAAATTGCGTTCATTTTTTATTCGGCGTCTACCTGGATTTTTGGATTCTAAATAATATGAGGCTTATTCTGTATGCTTCAGTGCTATGCCACGCTTTTCACCATGAAAAAATGTTTCATTTTTATTATATATGTTTTTTGTGCTTATAATCTTGAGAATTATCGTGCAAACCACCACCAACTTAGATGAATAATAATAATACAAACTTAAGTTTTAAAAATCTCAAAATCTCAAGTACCGTTCATTGAGAATATTTGGTAAGTTATAAAATATGCTATGGAGTCATGTGCACTTTCTTAAAAACGGCATATATAATCAAACAGTACTCAGAACTGTCATTTTAAAAACACACAACACATTTGCACACCACTGATATCACATTGAGCCGTATTCATAAAACAAAGGATATCCTTGTACTTGCAAATTTTGAAGGACATCCTCGAGATGGTTTTTATAATCATTTGAAGTAAATGCTTCAAAGCAGTGACTTAAGTAAAAGGATATTCATAATCTTCACCTTATACTTGGCATAGGAAGCATATCCTTAAAAAGTTCTGAGTGTGGTCAGTAGCAGACTTAATTCCGTAACGAAAGGTGGTGAAACGATGATGCCGGAAATTGTGGATGTTAGGGATGTTAAAACAGATTTTTAGTTGAGAATGAGGAAACTCGAGGAGGAGCATTTTCATGTATACATAGAATGAAGATATGTCTACGCTATCTCGGAGACCCTGGATATCAACAAGGTATTGGTCAGGAACTTGGTGTTAGTCAAGCAACGGTATCTCAGACTGTGGATAGAGTTGTGAACAGCATAGTTGCACAGTCGAACGAATGGATCAAGTTTCCAACTACCAACCATGAACTGATGGAGGCCAAGCGGATATGGCATAGCATGTATAAATTTCCGACAGCAATTGGTGTAATTGATTGTACACACATAGGAATCCTGAAACCAAATCGCCATGGAGATGAGTATATCAACCGAAAGGGGATTCCTACTTTAAATGTGACTAGGTCAACAAATAAGAAGAAACTTGAGTATTATAATAAATAGTTTTACTGATTAAAGTGTATTTATAAGTTATAATAAGTTTTATTTTCGTGAACATCATAAGTTACAGGTGGCTTCTGATGCTGCATCGTTTCTAATTTCGTTTTATAATAATCTTGTTTAAAAATACTTGTTTGGTACAGCTGTAATAGCACTAGACGTTGCAGTTCTTTTGTAGTTAACCCTTTGGTTTCCTCAGTTTCGTATTTCTCTGTTGCTAATTTTCTTTTTGGTGGCAAGGTCTTCTGAATTGCTGGCTCTGTAATACTAACTGTTTGCTCACTGCGCTCAGTATATAGTTCACTTCCTTCTTCTTGAACACTATCAACTTGAATGGCACCTCTAATTTTCCCAATTGTAGGATTACAGTCACCTTCCATAGCTTTCAGCAACTTTCTTTCCCAATCTAACAATTTAATTGCTTTATTAGCAGTTTTTTTTAGATCTGTTTTTTTCTTTAATCTTGATTTCATGTTGTTGATTTTTTTTAATAAGCCTTTAGTACCTGATGGTTTACCGAATGTTGATTCATATTTTTTCAACGTCTTCTTCAAGGCATCGTCCTTTCTCATTTTTATTTTTGGAACTTGTGACTTTTTCAAAATAATGGGAGCAATGGTAATTTCATCTGCGATGAACTGCAGGTCGTTGCCATTATTTTCTATAGTTTTCTCATCACTTGAGGATGACATGCTTATTAATTTGATAGAAAACTGTATCCAGTAAAAATACGGAACGGTCTGTGTAAGCTCTGGAGTACAACTGTTAGTGATGCTGAGTGAACGAACTCCCACGTCAACTACAAGCTGGAACAAGTCAGGACATGTCGCTCAAGATACAAATACCAGTCAAACTTTTACTTCTTCTTGGAGGATATCCTCGCGAGTATAAGGTAATCATTATGAATATGAAAACAAGGATATGCTTATACTTCTACCTCTTTCTCCGAAGCAAGACCTTATACTTTTACCTTATACTTATGTTCTCGAAAAATATACTCATACCACGCCTCGACATTCTACGAGTTTCTTGTTGTATCTGTAATTGATAAGATAATGAATTAGATATTTCGTAACTGAAAGTCATCGTTACCAAGCTTATGTTTAATCTGTATCTCACTAGCAATGTACAAATATTGCATAATTTTTTTTTGTGTTATCCTAGAAAACCTTTGATTAAGGTGTGAACTGATCCTTCTTTTTGTTACAGCGAAAGAAACAAGCAATAAAAAATTATCTGGTTCTATCCACAGCAATCACTCCAGAAAACAATCCGGGGTAAGTAGACTTAGTACTTTTTGTAATGTATATGGGTTATTAAACAAAAACAGTATGAATCGCTTAATTTGTCAGTTATTTGCGGACTGATATGTAAAACGTATTATCTTACCTACCCTTCACGAGCATACTGACAGCACTAATTAATAATATGTATAAAACTTAGTAAAACATAGTGCGCCTTCAATGGGCAGAATTTCGTTATGTTTTATTATGCCTACAAATGTCCGGATAGGGTAGATAACATTACGTATACTTGTCGCAACAAGTATTAACCCAGAATAAACAAAATTCAAATAAAAAATAAAATTATTTTATAGATGTGTGAGAGAGAGTGAGATAGAGTATTATTTTGAGCACAGAAAACGATTATAATAAAATATTTTTACGTAGTTTGATTACACTGATCAACAGCCAAAAAATATCCTAAATAAAATCAACAAAATATTACTATTTTTAATGTGCTAAAACCGGAATGAAACTTATTTTTTCAATATTAGTTCAAGTTTTAGAGATACGGTAATTATATGTCTTCCTGCTGTGACAGTGTTAATATACTGTAATTCACAAGAATGCACGTGCTACATTTTTATATTCGGCAAGGAAAGATGATGTAATCGGCATGATTGTGTTACGTTATACATACGTGTACATTATATTGTTTTATATTAGCCATTTTTTCCTCAGTTGGCTGACAGCGTTCATGCAAGATTTCTCGAAAGTGTGTAAACAATCCAGATCAGTTTTGTTACGTGTGTGGTGATGTGACTTTTGCGTCTCAGAGACGGTCTATTACTCCACTAATAACAAAGGCATATCAGCTTTACTTCGGTTGTAAACTAGGTGATCAAGACAAACAGTGGGCACCCCACATCTGCTGTAATACATGTGCTTCAAGTCTGAGGAGCTGGTTAAATGGCAAAAAACGGTCTATGCGCTTTGCTGTTCCAATGGTTTGGAGAGAGCCTACAAATCATATTAATGATTGTTACTTTTGCATGGTACCTTGTGTTGGACAAGCCACAGGTATGTCCAAGAAAAAAAAATCGGTTATTAACTACCCAAACATACCATCTGCGATGAGACCTGTGCCTCACAGTGACGAAAATCATATTCCAAAACGCCCAGAATCCTACACTTGCGAATCAGAAAACGAATCAGATCATGGCGATCGAGTGATTCGTTAGAAAGAAGATATGCCATCAACGTCAAGAGATCCTGATTTTATACCGAGCACGTCATGCCACCAACCGCACAAAATAACACAGTCAGAATTAAATGATCTTGTAAGAGATTTAGAACTTCCAAAATGTAAGGCAGAGTTACTTGGATCAAGACTGCAGCAGTGGAACTTGTTAGAAGACGATGTTTCGGTATGTGTTTTTCGTAAACGCCACAAAGACTTGGAACCATTTTTCAATATGGTTTTCTGCAGTAACATTAACGGCTTACTGGCGGCTTTAAATATAAACTATAACCCAGAAGAATGGAGATTGTTTATAGACAGTTCAACATTGAGTTTAAAGACAGTGTTATTGCATATTGGAAATATTTTACCATCTCTTCCTGTAGGGTGTGCAGTTCACATGAAAGAATCATATGACTATATCAAGTTCCTATTGACTTGCATAAAATACGATGAGCACCAATGGCATATTTGTGGCGATATGAAAGTTGTTGCACTTTTACTTGGGCTGCAGCTAGGCTACACAAAGTTTTGCTGTTTTTTGTGTGAATGGGACAGTCGGGCAAAGGCACTTCATTACACCAGACAAAACTGGCCTGTTCGTCAATTCCTAGAGCCAGGTCAAAAAAATGTACAGCATATGCCATTAGTAGATTCGAAAAAAAATTTATTACCACCACTGCATATCAAGTTGGGCCTAATGAAAAACTTTGTCAAGGCATTAGATAGAGATGGGTCAGCTTTTCAATACCTGCGTCAGAAATTTCCAAGACTAAGTGAGGCAAAGGTTAAAGAAGGTATTTTTGTTGGGCCACAGATTCGAAATATTTTGAAAGATATACAGTTTGAAAACACTTTAACAGGTATTGAAAAAACTGCTTGGAATGATTTCCGTCTGGTGGTCACTAATTTCTTGGGAAATAGAAAAGCTGACAACTATAAAACCCTTGTCAAAAATATGCTGTCATCGTATCAAAAGATGGGCTGTAATATGTCTCTTAAGATACATTTCCTACACTCACACCTGGACTTTTTGCCTGACAATTGCGGAGCCGTAAGTGATGAGCACCGCGAACGTTTTCATCAGGATATTTCAACAATGGAAAAAAGGTACCAGGGAAAGTGGACTCCTTCCATGCTTGCAGACTACTGTTGGACTCTTGGTAGAGATGCTCCAGAAACGATCCATAAAAGAACAGCAAAAATACAGCGCATATAGTGATTCTTATAAGTATATGAATCTTGTTACTTTTTTTAATATATCCTTAAAAATAAAAAGTTTTTTTCTAAACCGCAACTAATTTTTTTATTTCATTGTCATTTTTGGATTCAGCGCCCCAAAATTAACAAAGAAGTGCACTTTTCCCACAAGATACAATTAAAAAACTAAAATTTGTTGTCCAGTGAATAGTAAAACACCGGCCTTTTGACGAGTTATGGTATGCTTAGTGTTAGCTAAAATGTCAGCATATGTACTGGATATGCCATTTTTACAAGCGTTCATACCTGATGGATAAGTGTAACATCTAGAAAAATTACTTAGTTCTCTCCATAGGTGAAAGCCTCAATATTTTCAACATATTTCGCCCGACCATTACTAAATTGCGGGTATCTAAGTTCATGACTCATATGTATGTACCCATTTCCATCATATTTTTGTCTGTATTTGCTCCAAAGGGACAATTCCGAAAACATGAAAACAAATGAAACAAAAACATCTACACTACCGTTCAAAAGTATTTGAACACACAGAAAACAAGGAAAATGGTGGAAGCTATTAAAGGGAACGTTACAATATCTGTATGAAACACTTATTTTCTTAATTCTTGACAACATACATTTATAATCAAAATAATCATATTTTTGAGTCATCAATATGTCCTTCTTTCCTTTTTATTAGACCCCGGGAATTTTTCTAAAGTGGATGGGGTTATTTTTCGCCATTCGGCTTGTAATATTCTCCATAAGTGTTCTTAAAATGTAGGAAAACATTTCCTTACTTGTCTGTTCAGTTCATCCCAGAGCAACTCTATCGGATTCAAATCCGGAGATTGAGAACGCCATTGCATGACTTTGAAATATTTCGTTCTTCTTTTGCTTCCGAAAATTTTATGCTGAAAGACAAACCCCGGACCAATAAGACGAGTCCCATAAGGCCCATCATGATTTTGTAGTATGGCTTTGTAACCTTTATTATTCAGTATTCCCTGTACTCTCACAATACCCCCAGAGCGGAACCACCAAAACAGCCCGACGGTGCATGATTCTAATGCTCTCTCGTTAGGCCGACGGCGGACAAATATTCTTTTCTTACAACTAAAAACTTCAAATTTCGATTCATCGCTCCAGAGGACCTTCTTCCAGTCAGCAACAGTGGTACCTTCTGAAGTTTAGAAATTTGTCGAATATTTGTGCCGGATTTATGAAGACCGATAATAACTTCTTTTTTGTCCTCGGAATATTCTTTAGTTTTACCCATTTTGTCCAAAAAAATAAACGACAACGCACTTAATAACTAAAGTAAAACTGTTATGGGCTTACGTACAACACAAATTGAAAGAAATTATCGAAGGACAAATCCTCAGAAAGAATTAATATACAATAAGATAACAATATTCTAAAGGCAAAGAAATTCCTATTATGGCTAATGATGAGATCCCAATAATAGTGTGAACAAAATTTTGATTTCAATGACCTTTCAGTGATGCTTGATTTCCATGGTGATGGTTTTCAATAAATAAATAAAAATAAATACGTACTGAACAGTTTTGTTTGTTATGATTTTAAATGGAAATATGCAGGTGTTCAAATACTTTTGAACGTTCTTCTTTTGCTTCCGAAAATTTTATGCTAAAAGACAAACCCCAGACCAATAAGTCCTAGAAGGCACATCATGATTTTTGTAACCTTAATTATTCAGTATTCCCTGTACTCTCACAATACCCCCAGAGCGGAACCACCAAAACAGCCCGACGGTGCATGATTCTAATGCTCTCTCGTTAGGCCGACGGCGGACAAATATTCTTTTCTTACAACTAAAAACTTCAAATTTCGATTCATCGCTCCAGAGGACCTTCATCCAGTCACCAACAGTGGTACCTTCTGAAGTTTAGAATATTTGTGCCGGATTTATGAAGACCAATAATAACTCCTTTTTGTCCTCGGAATATTCTTTAGTTTTACGCATTTTGTCCAAAAAAATAAACGACAACGCACTTAATAACTGAAGTAAAACTGTGTTATGGGTTTAGGTACAATACAAATTAAAAGAAATAATCGAAAAACAAATCCTAAGAAAGAATTCCTATACAAAAACATAACAATATTCTAAAGGCAACGAAATTCCTATTATGGATAATGATGAGATCCCAATAATAGTGTGAACAAAATGTTGATTTCAATGACCTTTTAGTGATGCTTGATTTCCATGGTGATGGTTTTCAATAAATGAAGAAAAATAAATACGTACTGAATAGTTTTGTTTGTTTGTTATGATCTTATATGGAAATATGCAGGTTTTCAAATACTTTTGAACGGTAGTGTAAGTATTCTTTTGGTAATAAATTGAGGACCCGCATTTTGATAAATCTCCACAGATTTCAATATCCTAGCATACGTTGCAAGCTTAATGTATGTTTATACGAAAAATAAGCTCCCATTAAACTTTCCAACGGTACCTAGACGGTAGCCAATCCAATAAAAAGGGAAAGTACGGAGAAACGTAAACATTTTGATGGAAGGTGCGCTATTAGTTCTGAGAGATCCGGTTACAAACGACAGCTGTCGCTAGTTAGCACGTGGAACAAAACTGCTTCTTTTGTTTATATTCAGTTACCTGTATTTTCTTTATATACTACCTATGATTAGTATTCAAACATTAAGAACTAATTTATGAAGTAAATTGTTCTTTCCTACAAACTTGCCAACATTACTGAAAAGCTTTTTGATAAAATTAATGTAATACAAGGAAGCGAATATATTAACTTATACAAGGTGTTTCAGTTTATTGTTGCATAACTTTAAGATTCGATAGAACTTTTAAAATTAATGCATAAAGTCTATATAGACATGGGTCGAAAAATACGTGGCTTCCGAAATACAGGGTGTTTAAATTGACTTTCTAAAATAGTTTTTTTTTAAATATTTCGAACAATATTTGATGTATAACGGTGAAAATTGGTATACAAGGGTTTTTTGGTACGACAAAACGAACCATGGTTTTACTGTAGCCGCTACAGGGCGCTCTCTACTGGACCTGTAGTGTATTAAAATGACCGAAATTTTTTTCTTAGTGCAATTTTTTGCTTTTTGAATAAAAAACTGATTCTTCGCACTTTTCAACATAAAAAATCTCTCTTGTGAATTTTCGTTATAGTTAGCCGTTTTTGAGATATTTCGATTTTTAAGGTTCGATGCATTTTTAATTATTTATGATAAAATAACGTTAAAAAGTCAGTATCTCGATAATTTTTAGAAGTAGGCTGTGCCTGCAAATATTTTTGAAATAGAAAGCAGAATAAGTTTAAACGTCAATTAGTTGACAGTTAGTTCTGTTGTCTGTTGAAACCTGAAACGTTTTTTTGCAATTGTGAATGCACGAAATTTAGTTTTTTTTACCTGTTTTTTTTTGTAAGTTTTATAAAAATGCCATTTTTATTCTCCAATCAAGAGTTAGCGGATATTCATTTTGTGTATGGCTTTGTAAATGGAAACGCAGCAGAAGCAGCCAGAGCATACGCACGAAGATTTCCAATCAGACGTCATCCAACTCGCTCAGTATTTGTAAGAGTGCATCGCTAAATAATTGAAAATGGGTTTGGAAATCTCCAAATGGATCAAAACATAAATGTTCGCCAGCGCAGATTTACCCGTATGATTCTGCGTGAGTTTGATGCAGATCCGACCACAAGTGTTAGGAGAGTTTCTGGTGCCTTGGGAATTTCAGCAAGCCATGTTCACCGTGTTCTTAGAAATGACCATAGACGTCCTTACCATTTGCAACCTGTGCAAGGACTACAGCCAGGGGACGGAGAACGAAGAATCACATTTTGTCAGTGGATTCTTGATAGAACTGATAATAATAGGGAGTTTTTAAGTAACGTTTTATGGACCGATGAGTCATGCTTCACTAGACGTGTAGTGGTAAATTTTCATAATCAACATATTCGGTCGCATGAAAATCCGCATGCAGTTCGGGAAAGAAATTTTCAGCATGAATTTAGTGTGAACGTGTGGATTGGTATCTACCGTAATCGACTATTTGGACCCTACCTTTTGCCTGCAAGGGTAAATGCTGCGACCTTCTTGGAATTTTTAAAGGCTGAACATGCAAATATGTGGGATGATGTTATGTTAGATTGAAGAAGATTGGCCTGGTTCCAGCTTGATGGTTGTCCAGCTCATTATTCGAGAATAGTTAGAAACTGGCTGGACGAAAATTATCCAGAAAGATGGATCGGCCGTGGAGGACCAGTCGCCTGGCCTCCACGATTCCCTGACCTAAATCCATCAGATTTCTTTCTGTGGGGATTTCTAAAAGAAAAAGTGCACCAGACTCCCGTAACCACAAGAGATATGCTAATAGACAGAATCAGAAATGCATGTGATGAAATAAGGCCTTATTTGAATAATGCTATACCACGTTCGATCATTCGTAGATGTGAATTTTGTATTGAACAATTGGGTTTACATTTCGAGCAACTACTTTAGATTTTGTATGTTTGTCCTAACTATCCAATAGCATTTTAGTTGTAAATAATTAATTTAATTCATTAAAAACAATATTGTAAAATTTAACAAATTAATATTCTGTTTTTTTGTGTTTATTTGGAGTTAGGAATTATTGCTGCGTTTAAAAACACAAACTAAACGATCATCTTAATTACTTGTAATGCCCAAATCTAAAATGTAAAAAAAAAATATTTTCCCATAAATAAGTAAAAATGCATCGAACTTTAAAAATCGAAATATCTCAAAAACGGCTAACTATAAGAAAAACTCACAGGAGAGCTTTTTTATGTTGAAAAGTACGAATAATCAGTTTTTTTATTCAATAAGCAAAAAATTGCACTAAGAAAAAATTTTCGGTCATTTTAATACACTACAGGTACAGTAGAGAACGCTCTCTAGCGGCTACAGTAAAACTATCCCCATGGTTCGTTTTGTCGTACCAAAAAACCCTTGTATACCAATTTTCACTGTTATACATCAAATATTGCTCGAAATATTTAAAAAAAAACTATTTTAGAAAGTAAATTTAAACACCCTGTATTTCGGAAGCCACGCATTTTTCGACCCATGTTTATATAGACTTTATGCATTAATTTTAAAAGTTCTATCGAATCTTAAAGTTATGCAACAATAAACTGAAACACCCTGTATAAAAGGTTTGAGGTTTTACGTCATTTCAACTTAAAGACTTGACAAAAATCAATCCAATTCATGTAGCAAATAGTTAGTGCTCTGCTAGCTAGAGTTAGAGTTAGAAACAATACAATTTCCAACTGAACTAAATCGTGAAATTTCTCGCGTAGGATCGTAAGAGCAAATCAGCTAGGCGATAACTTACAGGTTTTACGAATAACCCTCCGTTTTCATAAAGTTATACATCACATTTTTAGCGGGTCCTCTTCATTTCCTTTCCAACATCAACACCCCTACAAACTTTGCATTAAAATACAAATTTGAAAGTATTTCACCGCTAGCAGATCATTCAGCGTTTGCAGCATGGTCTAATTTGATCCTGTGTTTTTTTTTGTTTTCAACGTATATTGCATTGGAACATTTCGTCTTCAATTTCAATGTTTCCCTATACACCTTAGGAAAAACCATTGTTATACATGGGAAATCATTTCTTGGCAACAGCGCATCGGCTCGTCTACTTTCATCGCTATTCGTACATATTTCCTACCGTTAACCTCAGACCTGTATCACGAATGAGAATAATAGGCAGATACGCTGTGTTGCCAATTTGAGTAGAGCTTCCCGAATTGTGGGGAATTTAGAGTTAAGTGTTGATTCATTCAAGCTTTTAATCAGCATGGCCTAGACGTTAGAACTTCATAAAGATAACATTGAAGCTGAATGCTGCTGGAGTATAGTGTTTCGAATATTCAAAGCGGAGCGGGACACTATACTCGTTCAATGGGTCATCAAGCCACAGTCTTTTCAACAAAGAAATTATTTTACGAAAATGCGTTATATTTTTACGATTTTGTCGTCACCAAATCTCTGTTTCTCAAAATGTACGTCTATTGTAGAATTTTCAGCAAACTAAGCAAGAAACGTGATCTAGTATTTACTCAACATTACGGATTTCTCGAAATACATTAAAAAATGTGACCTAGATACCTAACAGCCCCAAGCTCTTTAAATATAACACCTTAAACCAGGGTTACCTGGTGCTCAGTCACGTTGATTGTCATGTTGTACTGCGCAAGTCAGCAAACAATTTGGCGTAATAAACGTTAGGAATCATCAGGTATTGCCAGATACCCGAATACCGGGCACCATAGTAACCGTTATAGTTGTCCTTCAAAGTTGTCAAATCGCCCCTATGGCGCAAATTCGCCACACCAGGCAACTGTGCTATAAACAAACCCTGTTTATCACTACTATTTGATAGTCATATGGTAGTTGTAGCCCTATCTAGCGGTCCATGATTTCTCTCAATACTGTTGTATCTCTACTGGCAACAAGAATAGGGATTACAAAATCATTTATACAACAATATACAAACATGAAAAATATGATTTGAACCATGAAACATTAATACAATTTTAATAGTTTGAACTTTTTTCATTTTTGGAATACTCTTATGTGGAATCCGCAGCTATTTTTCCCGAAATTTGGGTAGACTTAGATTTCTTAGAAATATGACATATTGGTATCGGCAACTCTGCGAATGGGAGAGACAAATCGCATTTGTTGAGCGCATCCGTCTAAGCGGTAGGCGCCAGCGCCCGTTCTGCCATCTCTCTCTTTTATCACTCTTCTACTTTACCCCGTTGTCCGTCACACTCCGACGCTGCCACATAGGATCCTACAATCGAGTGTCTTTCACGCACCTACATACTTTTGTATATTTCCATCTCTCTTCCTCATCATAATGTATAATAATGTTTTTTCCCAAGGTGTATAACTAAATATGTTAGTTTCCCTGTATTATGTTCCACACTGTACAATATTCTTTCTTTTATTTCGCAGAATCGTTCCAAAGCATCGAGTTTCTTCAGTTCAAGTACCGAAGATGCAAATGTTGCCAGTTCTACGCTTTCATTGCACGAAAGTGATCAAAACAAGAAACAAATTAAGCAGCGACTCACTGCGTTCTTTGGCAACACAAAGGTACGTTATGCAAAATGGTTAAATAAAAAAATTCAATTTATAAAAAACATCGATAAGAATAATCAATGAAGCATTGTGTTGTGACTTTCCTTTACAGCAGTGGTCGGCAACCCGGTAGCTCGCAATGGTAATTCTGGTGGCTCGCAACAAATTATAAAAAGGTGTAAAAATCATAGAAGCTTCCGTAAATTTTGTAAATTCTCATAATAAACACAAGCAGCGGCAACACTGCGGTGAGCGATCTGTTCGAGAACGATCTCGATTACTTTGAACGGAATAAATACGCAAGGCGCGGTTGGGTTAGAGTTGGCCTGCAATTAAAAACATTAGCCGTAGTAAGAATATAAAGACATACCATTTCCATTCGGTATGGGAAAAACAATATTTCTTTACAGAAGTTAAATGTAAAAATGTATGTTTGTTATGTAATACATCTATTTCCGTTGCTAAAAAAGGGAATATATACTAAGTGACATATAAATCCGAACACCCAGTTTAAATGGTTTTATTTTAATAAAATTTTGTATAAGTACTTAATGAAGCATAATAAGTAAATGTTACCTCTGATGAAGATTAAAGGTGACCTGGAACCATAAGCTATAGCACCCCAAACCATAACTCCAACAGTGTGATGAACATGTCTTTCAACAAAAAACTGTGGATTCCTCCTTTCACCACGTCGCCTTCTAACCCTGGCACGACCATCGTGCATGCCTAAACAAAATCGAGACTCGTCACTAAAGACAATACTGTTCCATTCCTGATCCCAGAGTGACCGTTGTCTGCACCACTCAAGACGATTACGTCGGTGTTCTCGAGTTAAAGGGAGGACCCAGTGTGGCCGGTATGAAAACAATCCAAAACTTCTCATTCGTCGGTAAACACTTCGCATGCCAATAGGTCTTCCGTGTTCTGCAAACCATTCATTTGCAATGGACCTGGTAGTGGAGAAACGGTCCCTTAAGGCCAATAATCTTAGGCGGCGATCTTCATGGTCTGTTCTACGGCGGCGTCCAGTGCCCCTTGCTCTTTGCGTACGGCCTTCTTGAAGCCATGCCTGACAACACCTAACCACAGTGTCTACACTTCTTTGCACTCTAACTGCAATTGCCCGAAAAGAAAGTCCAGCTTCCCGAAGTCCCACTATACGGCCCCTATCAAACTCACTAAGTTGACGAAATCGTACAGGTCTCGGTACTCTAGGCATCATAACCGATCGTAAAGGATGTCAAGAACCAAAATCCGCCAACGTTGATTCTTTACTGCGGCTGAAATATTCATTATTAGAGCGTTAGTGAATTAAAAAAAAGCAGTATAAAAACCGGAATGTCCAACTGATAAGGCTGAAAATTTGTTCACTTGTTATTTACAGTAAGATAAATACATTCACCAACTTTTATTAAAATAAAACCATTTAAACTGGGTGTTCGGATTTATATGTCACTTAGTATAGATAGGCACTATAAAACTGTACATTCGAATTTTGAAAAATCATTCCCATTACGTTCTGCAACCAGAACGGAAAAACTGAAACAATTAAAAAATCAGTTAATTGGACAACAGACAATATTGGAAAAAAATGGCGTCAGGTAGGTTGAGCTCGGAATTATGAACAAATGGATATTATTCAGCATCTACTCGTATAGTACTGGTACAGCCAGGAAAATCCTTGTAGCTTGACATAAGATGGTAGAGTGGAAAAGCATCAGTGCAAAAAAGTTTTGTTGATTTGAAAAAGTCAACTTGCTGGTATCTTCACTATTGTCCGGCCATGAAAACGCTTACAGCTGGTGTGATAGCCGAGCCGTGTGCTACAGTATTTTTATTATCTTCAAATAGTGCAACAAAAATATTCCCCGTTCAGGTGTCCAATTTACTATTATTTTTTGTGGGGCGCGATTACAATTCTTCCTCGCCAGCGGCCTAGGAAGTAAAAACTAATATACGAACCTGGGAAGTCTCGTTTCAAGGCAAAGATACACAATGAAAAATTGGGATTTTTGAAAAGAGAATGCAATAAGAATCGTCGACAAACTACTAAAGATAATCTCTTAAATAGCGTATTGTCAAACATCTCGAACTTTTGTGACAGCTGCTTTGATTAGAGGTAATTCATCAGAGCAAAGTAAGTTATCATTAATAAAGGGTATATCGCATTAGGTAAGTTGAGAAATTTGAAGGACAGCAGCCAGAGGTTCGTTGCCATTTTCATTACATCAACTCGGTCCGGTTGTTCCAGCAAATTCAGTTATCCATATTTTCCAGCCACCAGGGGTCCCGAAGTGGATCTGCTTGTTGGCTCGAGTTGTCCGTAGATGTGTTTGTGTTGAAGTGTCTGCGCGTAATGAGATAAAAATAAGCCGCTTGGGTTGCTGGTCCTTGCACGAACGTCCCAAGGGGTAGCAAAACTATGCCACTAGAAATGAGTTGTGCATTCTCGTCTACCAGATAAGCTTACTACTAAACAGAACAAGACCCCGCAACTTCTGAAAAATCGGTAAAGCACACCAGTTAATTTAAGAATAATTTATAATCTAGTAAGCAATACTGTCGGCAGTTTGTGGATAAGTTGATGCAGTCAAAAGATTTCAACAGCTTGGATCATGGTACTATACTCTAAAAGCTGTCAAAATGTCGTTCAGCAACAATATTTTTGGAATGCTTTACTCATATCCTGAGTGCTGCCTGAAACTCTAAAAATTGTTTGTTTGTGTGTCAATAGACGGCATACTTAGCGTTATCCTGTGGCCTACTCACGAAGTACCGCAGGGCACAATATTAGGCCCAATTCATCTAAATTACCTATTCTTGCTTGACATGTCAATGTAGTATAACGTTTTTTGCAGTTGATATTGTCTTGTATTACCAGTCAGAAAGTTTGGTGTACCTTATAGACAAAGTACGTGAAGGCTTTGTAAGAGTGAAGGCATGAATAGACAGTAGGTACTTGACTATCAATTTCTAAAAAAACATTTTTTCTTCCCGTCCGCACCGTACTATGATAGTATAGATATAGAAATACAGGGTGTTTCAGTTTATTGTTGCATAACTATAAGATTCGATAGAACTTTTAAAATTACTGCATAAAGTCTATATAAACATGGGTCGAAAAATGCGTGGCTTCCGAAATACAGGGTGTTTAAATTTACTTTTTAAAATAGTTCTTTTTAAATATTTCGAACAATATTTGATGTATAACAGTGAAAATTGGTATACAAGGGTTTTTTGGTACGACAAAACGAACCATAGGCATAGCTTTACTGTAGCCGTTAGAGGGCGCTCTCTACTGTACCTGCAGTGTATTAAAATAACCGAAATTTTTTTCTTAGTGCATTCTTTTGCTTTTTGGATAAAAAACTAATTCCTCGCACTTTTCAACATAAAAAAGCTCTCCTGTGAGTTTTCGTTATAGTTAGCCGTTTTTGAGATATTTCGATTTTTAAGGTTCGATGCATTTTTAATTATTTATGGGAAAATGATATTTTTTTACATTTTCGATTTGGGCATTACAAGTAATTAAGATGGTCGTTTAGATTGTGTTTTTAAACACAGCAATAATTCCTAATTCCAAATAAACAGAAAAAAAACAGAATATTAATTTGTTTAATTTTCCAATATTATTTTTAACAAATTAAATTAATTACTTACAACTAAAATGCTATTGGATAGTTAGGACAAACATACAAAATCTAAAGTAGTTGCTCGAAATGTAAACCCAATTGTTCAATACATAATTCACATCTACGAATGATCGAACGTGGTATAGCATTATTGAAATAAGGCCTTATTCCATCACATGCATTCCTGATTCTGTCTATTAGCATATCTCTTGTGGTTACGGGAGTCTAGTACACTTTTTCTTTTAGAAATCCCCACACAAAGAGATCTAATGGATTTAGGTCAGGGGATCGTGGAGGCCAGGCGACTGGTCCTCCACGGCCGATCCATCCTTCTGGATAATTTTCGTCCAGCCAGTTTCTAACTATTCTCGAATAATGAGCTGGACAACCATCAAGCTGGAACCTGGCCAATCTTCTTAAATCCAACATAACATCATCCCACATGTTTGCATGTTCAGCCTTTAAAAATTCCAAGAAGGTCGCAGCATTTAACCTTGCAGGCAAAAGGTAGGGTCCAAATAGTCGATTACGGTAGATACCAATCCACACGTTCACACTAAATTCATGCTGAAAATTTCTTTCCCGAACTGCATGCGGATTTTCATGCGACCAAATATGTTGATTATGAAAATTTACCACTCCACGTCTAGTGAAACATGACTCATCGGTCCATAAAACGTTACTTAAAAACTCCCTATTATTATCAGTTCTATCAAGAATCCACTGACAAAATGTGATTCTTCGTTCTCCGTCCCCTGGCTGTAGTCCTTGTACAGATTGCAAATGGTAAGAAAGTCTATGGTCATTTCTAAGAACACGGTGAACATGGCTTGCTGAAATTCCCAAGGCACCAGAAACTCTCCTAACACTTGTGGTCGGATCTCTATCAAACTTACGCAGAATCACACGGGTAAATCTGCGCTGACGAACATTTATGTTTTGATCCCTTTGGAGATTTCCAAAACCATTTTCAATTATTTGGCGATGCACTCTTACAAATACTGAGCGAGTTGGATGTCGTCTGTTTGGAAATCTTCGTGCATATTCTCTGGCTGCTTCTGCTGCGTTTCCATTTACAAAGCCATACACAAAATGAATATCCACTAACTCTCGATTGGAGAATAAAATTGACATTTTTATAAAACTTACAAAATAAAACAGGTAAAAGAAACTAAATTTCGTGCATTCACAATTGCAAAAAAACGTTTCAGGTTTCAACAGACAACAAAACTAACTGTCAACTAATTGACGTTTAACCTTATTCTGCTTTCAATTTCAAAAATATATGCATGCACAGCCTACTTCTAAAAATTATGGAGATACTGACTTTTTAACGTTACTTTATCATAAATAATTAAAAATACATCGAACCTTAAAAATCGAAATATCTCAAAAACGGCTAACTATAACGAAAATTCACACGAGAGCTTTTTTATGTTGAAAAGTGCGAAGAATCAGTTTTTTTTATTCAAAAAGCAAAAAATTACACTAAGAACAAATTTTCGGTCATTTTAATACACTACAGGTACAGTAGAGAACGCCCTCTAGCGGCTACAGTATAACTGTGCCCATGGTTCGTTTTGTCGTGGCAAAAAACCCTTGTATACCAATTTTCACTGTTATACATCGAATATTGTTCGAAATATTTTAAAAAAAACTATTTTAAAAAGTAAATTTAAACACCCTGTATTTTGGAAGCCACGCATTTTTCGACCCATGTTTATATAGACTTTATGCATTAATTTTAAAAGTTCTATCGAATCTTAAAGTTATGCAACAATAAACTGAAACACCCTGTATATATTATTTCTCCAATCACAGTGCATTAGTACTCAGTGGGGTATATTTTCGATGTTTATGCTCCAAAATCCTTTTCTATTGCTATATTCTCCCTCATTGTCCTTTTTTTTCTGAGTCAGTACACATTATGATTATTATTAGGTATGTAGTGCCGTAATTGTAAATATAAATCTAAAAAGTAGAAAATTCCTGCCGGCGCGCAAGATTGTGTAACGGATCTAGAGAATAACTCCGCGATCGAAAACATAGTTTCATATTGGAAGTTGATTCTGATGACACTGCTCTACCTCCCGGTGACAAAAGCAACCCGCCTAGCCCAAATGAATGAGTTGTGCGTGTCCTTGAAATATTTATTGTTCAAGATCGTAACGACTTTTCGGAAAGACTGGACTGTCACCGGGACTGTAGAGACTCTCTCCCGACTTCGACCCTTGTTTTCTAAGTAAGCCAGAGACTAAGTGAATAAATGTGTAATCACTTCTGTTGACTTGCTTTTATACGAACGCCTTCAATGCTTGGAAATCGCGCTTTCAGCGCTGCATTCACGTAGAAGGAGCCTATTTTGAAAGTTTTTAAAGAATTGTAACAGTTGGCTCAATAATTTTTTTTTGAATCGACTCAGTCCTATTACTTTCCGGACAAACCCTGTACATGCTAACAGTATTACACACAACGCGGGCGCGGTGTTGATTTCTCCTAACTCTCCTCAGTTTTTCGTAATTTGTAACTTTGAACATAACCTCTCTTCAGAAAGAAGGAGAAAAAAGGTTAAAGATGAGTTTAAAGCAGTCGGATGGCTAGAATTTAACTTTACGCATATCCACGGATAATTGATTGTTTCCTTTTTCTGAGAAGTGTAATATTTTAAGCTTTTCTCTTTTTGGTGGTCAATATTGTGAACTGTGCCATTTAAATGTAGGTACTTTTTTTTCATTATAGTTTGTGTCAATGTTTTTTAGGTCGGGTTGAAAAACAGCATAAGCTGACACTCCACCTTTTCGTCACTATTCCTTTTAAGCCAAGTGACATATAAATCCGAACACCCAGTTTAAATGGTTTTATTTTAATAAAAGTTGGTGAATGTATTTATCTTACTGTAAATAACAAGTGAAAAAATGTTCAGCCTTATCAGTTGGACATTCCGGTTTTTATACTGCTTTTTTTTAATTCACTAACTCTCTAAAAATGAATATTTCAGCCGCAGTAAAGGATTTACGTTGGCGGATTTTGGTTCTTGACATCCTTTACGATCGGTTACGATGCCTAGAGTACGGAGGCCTGTACGATTTCGTCAACTTAGTGAGTTTGATAGGGGCCGTATAGTGGGACTTCGGGAAGCTGGACTTTCTTTTCGGGCAATTGCAGTTAGAGTGCAAAGAAGTGTAGACACTCTGGTTAGGTGTTGTCAGGCATGGCTTCGAGAAGGCCGTATGCAAAGTGCAAGGGGCACTAGTCGCCGCCGTAGAACAACAGACCGTGAAGATCGCCGCCTAAGATTATTGGCCTTAAGGGACCGTTTCTCCACTACCAGGTCCATTGCAAATGAATGGTTTACAGAACACGGAAGACCTATTGGCATGCGAAGTGTGTACCGACGAATGAGAATTTTTGGCTTGTTTTCATACCGGCCACACTGGGTCCTCCCTTTAACTCGAGAACACCGACGTAATCGCCTTGAGTGGTGCAGACAACGGTCACTCTAGGATCAGGAATGGAACAGTATTGTCTTTAGTAACGAGTCTCGATTTTGTTTAGGCATGCACGATGGTCGTGCCAGGGTTAGAAGGCGACGTGGTGAAAGGAGGAATCCACAGTTTTTTGTTGAAAGACATGTTCATCACACTGTTGGAGTTATGGTTTGGGGTGCTATAGCTTATGGTTCCAGGTCACCTTTAATCTTCATCAGAGGTAACATGAATACGCAGCGTTATATCCACGAAGTTCTAGAACCCCATCTTTTACCCTATCTTGACACCCTGGCAGATCCAACTTTCCAACAAGTTGCAAGAGTCACAATAGACTTCTTTCAACATAATGATGTCACATTGTTACCATGGCCACCAAGATCTCCCGACTTATCCCCTATTGAGCACGTGTGGGATATGATGGGTAGGAGATTGCTCAATTTGCAACGTCCTCCTCAGACTCTAGAAGCACTTCGAGAGGAGTTGGTGGTTGCCTGGAATGCGATACCACAGGAGGATATTGACCACCTGATCAGAAGCATGCCTAGGCGCGTTAGAGAATGCGTATCACATCAGGGTGCATCCACATATTATTAAAGGTCGAAGGGCTTTAAAGCAGTGCAATCATTTTGAAATTTTTATCATTTACTTATCATGCTTCATCAAGTACTTATACAAAATTTTATTAAAATAAATCCATTTAAACTGGGTGTTCGGATTTATATGTCACTTAGTATATTTTGTAATCATGTGACGAATAAAGGCCATTTATTATTATTATTATTATTATTAAATGTTTCGTGATGTAGTATGTGCCTGTTCGGAAATCGGTATGCTACAAACGAGAAGCCGCTCGCGAATTTTGCCCTGCTTTTCCGTACACTAAAAGAATTTCCACTAACTCCGCATTAGTGTACACATAAGCCATTTTCATTAATAAATAACTAAAAACATGAACTCGCAAAGTACTTTCTTATTTAACTTCACAAAAATCAACCGTTCTTCATTCAGATTACCCACGATACAGATTAAACCTTATTTACACGTTCTTATCAGTATGAAAAAACAAAAAAATCTTGGTATTTAGTTTTCGTCAGTTGTTTGGTACAACATTTACTACAATAAATTATTAATGCGTGTTCTAATCTCACGACGATGAACGCAAAATACAGATATTTATTTATCAATTTATTATTGAAACTTAATTTCTGTAGGACTTATACTTTGAAGTTGAGTCATTAATTTTCAGATAATGATTGTAGAAGGAAGATAAACCAAAATATGTGTGTAAAAATTAAAAAAGAATGTTACCTTGTTTTATAAAGTATCCTCCCGACAAGTATTTCAGTGCGGACCTGTATTTGATCGTGCGGTCTTGGAGCACCGGCATGCCCTCTCCTGTGAGGTCTTAAGTCACCTGATTTACGAGCCCTTTGTACTACATTAACAAAGGCAGGTGGTTGGTTGCATTCGATTGGGAAACCGATCCGCATAAATCCGTGATACCGCGGCATCATTTTGTAAAGAATCCCCCCCCCCCCGTAAATAAGAATCATGTCTACAAGTTCAGCATTTTCGTAAACATGTGCCATTTTTTATTTCGTTTGAGCCACCCAACAAACACCACTATTCACTCACGCGTTACCGACTGAGACATTGACTGCATACAACTGAATAAAATTATAGTAAAAACATCGTGATAAGCGTTTCAAATTCTTTCGCTTTTTTGTTTCCGATGCGATGATCCGATTAGGCGGATTATATCCGTTGTTGCCAAACACGAGCACATAATATTATTATTGAGACAGGGCGGTACTCAAACTTCTAAAGGGCTATAACTTTGTAACTTTAATTTTACCACAAAAATGTTAAACATTTCTTTTGATCAGATCTACTTACTGTTAAAATAAATGACTCAACTTCGAAGTATTACATTTTTTTGAGAAATCAACCTCTTTCGTAACAGTGCATATGTGGTTAAAATCTGTCGGATAAGTGGTGAAACACCGTGTATATGATTTGAAATCTCTTTTGCCAGATAATCACCAATTTCATAAAAATATTTACGAAACGCAATACCTGTTTCGGTATCGTAAAATAATATTCACGTATATTGTTTGACCCCGTAGATGCTACCACTATGGATGCCCTTGTTAGTTTTAAAGCTTGCATTTCATTAAAACTTCATTGTCGCGGCTGAAATTAGCACCACGGCTTACGTATGGCAGTTGGCAAGTACAGTTTGCTCACCGCTCCAATCTTCTTACCGAATAATACGAGTATGCGGAAACTTTTTATCGCCGCGCCGTTACTGTAGAAAAGTATGGTTCGGCAAGTTTCCACCAAGTTCAAGTGCAACTTTCTGGAAGTGGGGCTATTTGTTCCTACTTAATTTGGCACATAATGCTGGTTTACTTGAAGATTGCGCCACGTCAATAAGTTTTTCACGCTTAAGGAAACCCTTCATTCTGTTTATACACTACTTGACTGTCTGTGCCTGTATGTCTTATTTTCTAGTTCTGTATTCATGAGTTTTTCAATTTTTGAACATATCAAGGCAACACACCTTTTACATCTTACACCATGCATAAAGAATATTCTCCAAATACATGTGGTTTTATTGTCCAGGCAAGAATGGGGGATTATCACACCTTCGAATCTGACATTTTTTTTATACGAGTTTGAATTCTGTGATGTATGTTAAATTGGAGCGGTTAATTTATGTGTCTTTTTTGTTGCAGGATAGCAAATATGAAGGCTTGATCGACCAACTGGATAGATACTCAAAGCAGGGTATCCCACATGTTTTGAAGTATCCTCAAGGACAGTGTGAATCCGTAGACGCTCTGTATAGGCTAGAAGACGACTGGAGAGACATTATAGACTTTAGCGGTAAGTTACTCAAAATTATCTGTAAGGTCTAAACTGTATCCATCGAAGAAACAAAGTAAAATCAAACATATACACCCGTATTGCACGTGATCAAGAACTTAACCGTAGGAGACGCTACAGGACCGTATCAAGCTATTGTGACTGATCTATCAAAAAATGTCGTACAAGATATGTGTTGCTGTAAATTCTATCAAAAGCATAGTAAATTATCAGGAATATACCACGCCTTTCTAATCATATTTCGACATTAGGAATCAGTGCAAAAAATTCTGTATTCACCATTTCAGCAAAGTGTTACTAAAACGCACACGAAAAAAACTTGTGGACCATCTCAATTGAAATTGTTCATATTTTATTATTAACTTACATATATACCCAATAATATTTACAAATCAACCTTCTATTCACAATGCAGAGCAAATTTTTTTGAGCAAATAGAAACTACAGACGTAGTAGTAGTAGTACAAAAGTTTATTACAGACTCCATAAAGTTTGTTAGTTTGATTGCTATTAAAATTTACATGAGAAATAGGAAGAAGGTCAAAATGGCACTATTATGCTTTGGAACTCCTAAAATAACCCTAATTTTGTGTAATTATAAATTTGGAATTTCCACATTAATAACTAGAAACATACACTTTGATTGCAGTCTATAATGAACTTACCTGTCTTGCCAAAAAGCCCGTTAAACTGCCAGTCTTAATGGTATCAATCGATTTATATGCTGTATTCCGAGGAGCTTGAATCATCAGAATTGTTGATGTCAATTATAAGGGGTTCAACTTGGGTGTCAATGATATTGTCCATATCCCACATTTTGGTTTCAACCTTCTCTTGGACATGGACAATACATGTTCTCCATTTTGCTGGCGTAATTCTATCGACAGCAACATCAAACAGTTTTTTAAGGTCAGAAAACTTAAAAGTGCTGTTATTTGACGCCACGTATTGCTTGATGTCGGCCCAAATCAACTCGATAGGATTCAGTTCGCAGTGATAGGGAGGCAGCCTGAGAATCGTTTTATTTTGGTTTTTGGCCATTTCGTCAACAATTTTTAAATCATATTTATACTTATGTCGCTTGACTATATTTATCAGCTCAGCTTTGACCATTGTTTGGTCGAAGTCGATCTTCTTTGAGACAAGCCACTGTTGAATGTCTGCCTTTTTGGTGGCCATTGTTGGAATTTTTTCCAATTTTCTGGAGTGGTACGGGGCATTATCCATCACAATAATTGCGTTATCATCAAGTGTCGGCAAAATTTTTTTGAACCAATTTTCAAATGAGTTACCATCCATTTCTTCGTGATAGTCTCCAGTTTTTTTGGATTCAAATGCCCACAATGCTTCAGGAACAAATCCATCTACGCTACCTATGTGGCAAATGATCAGGCGTTTTCCCTTCCCTGAAAGTAATTAGTTATTTTACTTCTCAGCGAGCGCACTAAATGACGAAATTAAGCAACTTACTCTTTTTAGGTTAGTGTAGGATAGGGTCTTAGATTAGTTTTTGGGTGAAGGAAATACTCAGAAACTTGGATGAGATAGCAAAACTGAGTTCGGAGCTTCCAAATCATTGATTCGATCAGAAAATGAATTATCTGCATCCAAAAAAGTTCATATACTTCGAAACTTACCTGCAGGATTTTTCAATCCCGTCGAAAGGCCATCTAAAAAAGCCTGCCTTGAGGACCTCACAGATCTGTCTACCCAAACCTTTCCCTGCGTATGCCCCGCGTTCACCCATGTTTCGTCTAAAGAATAAATTTTTCTTCCTTCAGCGCGGAATTGCCTAATTTTTCTAAGGTATTCTCTCCTCCAGATAACAATTTCCTCCTTTTCTATCAATAAACTATTCCTTCCTCTTTTCAAAAATCGAAAGTCTAGTTCTTTCAACAGCTTATGGAACGTAGATCTTTTAAAATTTGGCAGGTCCTCATCATCATTCACTTGCTTCAATATTTTATCTATTGTAGGTATTTCATTCCTGAAGAAAAAGTGATGTACTTTTCTTCTAAGGGCACTTTTGTCAAAGTCATCTATTTTTTCGATGATTTTTTTTCTCGCTGGATATGTTTTTGGCCCAGATAGTGAGTGATTTTGTCTATATTCCTTCAAGATTTTGTAAACACTTGATCGACCTACTCCAGAAATTTCAGCAACCTTACATACGATATTTTCTATAGCCAATCCACTATTCTCTTGCATCTGGTTCTTGTAGATATTTAGAATAATTTGTTTTTCACCTGCGCTAAGATGAAGCTTTTTAGCCCTTTTTCTGGGTGGCGTTAAGCTGATTTCAACCACTTCATCAGCTGTATCTGTGTCAGACATTTTAGACTAATATTAAATTTCCGCAAGAAAAATCAAGTCAAGACGTGCATAAAACGTTCGCGCTCATAAACGGGTATCCGTAACTGATTACAATCCTGTGCGTGGTGACGAACCATCAACGTGACGCTGAGAGTTCCCTCTACTATGCAAATTGGAATATACCTTTGTGATGCCATTTATTGTTATATAATGTCCTTTACAACAGTTATTGCACGTATTGCACCAACAGATTGATTTGTGATCCATGCGAATGTGATCAACCACTCTGGCGAAAACTCGCCGAGCGTGGCAACCGTGCGACTTTGTCTGGAGGCTCGTCGCTACAAACCAATCAGGAAGAGGCCGACAGAACGCCATGGCTACCGATCACGCGTTGATCACGAATCAACCACTGTTTACGATTACTTTGTAGCTTCGTTAGATACACTATAGATTATACGACGCGGTTTGTAAATTTGATCATACCATAATTCGCATCATCACTATACTGAGTGTAAAAAACTTTTTCCGGTGGAGTTGTTACATCTTTTCAATACATCTATCGATATTACCTCCTGCAGATAACACTTTTTTCTGTAAATAGAATTCATTATTTTGAAAAAATAATTATTCCATCTAAAATTCAGCGTGCAGTAAGTTTTATTAAATTGAATATTTAAAACACACATGACAACAGCGCGTCAGTCTTTCATCACCCTTATCGAACCGGCAATCTATCGCAAACGGTAACAGTGGTTAGTTATCGTTTGGCGTAGATAAATTACTTTATCGTTTTGTCGAGCAGAGCATCGGGCGTGTTGTTTTGTTTTTGTTCGCGTACGTCGTCGTGTTTATTTACAATGTACTCGAATCAAAAGTTCGCCGACATGTTGTTAGTTTACGGTGAAGCTCGTCAGGATTCAAATCTTGCAGATTTCGCCAACGGGTACACCCAGACAGAAGGACATTTGTGCAAGTGTACCAAAGACTTCGAGATACAGGAAGTGTTCTGCCCACTAATATTCGCACTCGTGAAAGACAGGTTACTGTAAAGCAGAAGGAACAAATTTTAAATATCGTGGAAATCAATGCAGATATCAGCACTCGGGAATTAGCATGGAATTAAACCTTCAGAGTATATGTTTTGTGACTGGTACCAAGAGTTGACAGATCCCACACATGTGTCACACCTTGAAATGCAATAATCAGCTCTATTCAAATAATGTCTAATATAAATATAACCTAGAATGTGTACTCGTGAAAAAGAAAAATACAACAAATTTGTAGTTTTTTTGCAGGTTTTAGGTTTGCTGGTAGCTTTAAGGCATATATTTGGGAATTTCTTAATCGCTGTGAATATAGTGTGGATGTTTGTTCAGTTCCTGAACAACGAAAAGTATTCAACTTTATGGATGTATGGATATCAAAAAACCTAAATGGTTTTGTGGGAATATCAATCTAAGGTGCCATAATGGTTCTGATGAACCGCAAGTAAATGAATGAATGTTTGGAAACGAACAATATCTTTTGGTAGAGCCTGTCATCAAGAAGGTGCTTAATGGCTATCTGCAAGAGGTTTATAGGAAAAAACACCCAGTATCACATATCAATTGAAGAAAATAATATAAACATGAATAAAAAATCAACAATAGTAATTAAAACATGAATTTAATTCAAAAATCAAACATTTCTTAAAATTTTGACTGAATTATATGTAATTTCTTAATATTCAATAAGCTGGTGATGTTTCAATGACAAGTTGTCATCTCATACTTTGACAGTATTTTGTTTTCAACATATCATAGCTACTGGTTGCTAGAATTTGGTGATTGGAACTTGAAGCTCATTCGCTGTATCTGACGGTCTGTTACCCTATAGGTGGAGAATAACGGACTGTTGTTGGTAAAATTGGCCCGGGGTCATTAATTATGATTGATTGTTCGACCATCTACTACTGTAATATAAAATTTTTGTAATTAAAATTTATTTTCTACTTTTTAGTTCGGTTAGATATAAAAACGTGTTTTTAGTTTTTTTAAACTATTATTTATTTTTCATTTTTTTGTTCGGTTTATCATTCAGTTTTTTGTGGACATGTGGTATTTCGTAATCTAATCATTTAATTTACAGCTTCACGGTTGCATGGGGTTTTCCTGTTAACTTAGAGCAATCAAGATCTTGAAAAACGATCTGCAGGCGCTCGTGAAGCCTCGGTTACATTTCGAAGACACTCGCCGTAAATTAAGATAATATGGATATTGGTGTCTGAGTGTGAAATTTTTGTTTTCTTTTTTAGAACGATGTGTAAGGGTTTTGATTGCCAACGCGGTCAGCGCGATGCGCATCATACGTGTTCACGTTTGATCTGATCGAGGTGCAGGACCGGATTAGATATTGTTTAGGTTTGATTGATTTTAGGGAGCGTAACATCTCAGTATTTTGGTGTATATGTTACTAGAAAAAAATTGTTTAATATAAAATTGTATAATACCGCTTTCAAGTTCTGTTTTGGCTCATACATTTTTATCCTTATAATCGACAAACTCTATTTTAAGCAACGCTGTATACATAGATGCGAATTTAAAAACCATATGAAACGGATCCAACGAGAAATGCGTAGATCTGACAGCGTTAATGCATACG